CCTAATTCCCTACCCTTGGCGGTGTATAGTCGTGTTATCAGCACTTACTTACGCTCCGCCACTTAGTTTCAAAGTCAACACCAGTGGAAATGCGTTCATGATCTCGTGTATGTATCCAGTCATGTGTATGTGATTCCTCTAGTGTCAGGTGTGTGTATGTGTGACGGGATTTGTTATCTGCGTGGGTTTTATTATCCACGAACTAGTGGAACTAGATGTAGCAAGCTCATCTCCCTCCGGAGCTGTGAACCCAAAAATTATCGCTACACGCGTATACTCACACCCGTAGCCACACTCCCAAGAGACTACTACATTTGACGCCGTGATGGTCGGCAAATTTTGAGGCTGCGCCAAGCTACTCTTATTGCCACCGTTGCCTGCTTACAGCATATCTTCGTTCTTGACAGGCAAGGTTTTTGCACCCGTGGCACTGAAATACCCACCACTTTGACGTTTCCTGTCCTGTCACAGTGCCTTGAAAGTGTCCTTTTTTCGTGGGGCGGGAAGAGATTGTTCACTCCCTCTACCCCAAATCGGGTCAGGCATCCCAACTCCTTGTACTGGTCTAACTAACGCACCTGGGATCTTCGCAAGCGTGCATGCGCACGCGCACACGCAAATACTTGAGTGTACATCACGAAACCTTCCCGCCACTATCGTTGGTAGTTCTGGTGCGAAAGAAAACAATTTGCCCCATTCGTTCATCTGTGTGTGTTCTAGTCGTGGATTGAAGTTTGGTGGTCCAGCATTCATTGTCACTTAGTGCCGCCACCATTATTGTGATTGACGTGATTCTTGTGCTCAACCCTCCATTCGTCCGTCTTAGCGGACGAAGGGGACAGACTTAATTTATGTCAATTAATCAAGGAGGTTACAACTTATGCACCAGTCCATTAATGCATACTAAAAATACCTTACAGATGAGATGGATCGTATTTGCCTTCGCTCCAGAGTATCTTCCACGATTTTCGTCCAAGGGTAGAAAGCGTGCATCCACAGATTTGCTTTCGTCTTGTTTATACTTGTGACTGAGTCGTGAGATCGACTTACTGCTACTTAGACGTCACACTTCTTCATTCATACATTCATTTAGCGACCCGTGCGCGCTTTGACGTGCATGAGAAGTGGGCAGACATCAAGTTGACATCTTTTCTGAGATGAGTAGAAGAAGAGAAGGCGTGGAAACCAGCACTGCTGTGTTACCTATGTGTAGGCAAGCCCTAATTTACTGGCCCTGCTTTCCACGCAGTCGAGTATATCACAATACATTGAGCCGCCGCGAGACTTGTAAAGGCACTAAACTTTTCTACCTTCTGTTGATCAGTCGTGCACCGCTCTGCATGCCTGCTCCAGTGGATTCTTCATTAAATTTTTTCAAATCTACTCCAGGCCCTTTACTGACTCCGAGTATACTCCTGCGGCTTTCAAGTGATTTGGTTTAAATTTTAACTTCTGTGCATAGTTTTCCACTTGTTCGGTATCTACCCGGTCGTTTCATGGGTTCTTTAAAAGAGCGCCACTGCAAGCTATCACCTGGTAATAGGCTAGCTGTCATTTCGCAGATGTACACAAAACTAGGCCAAAATATTGAGATTGATGGGTGTAAACTGTGAGACTAGCATGTCAAGGGGGTGATGCCGACTGGGCCTGCTTCCTGTATGAAAAGCCAAGGCGATGATAAAAAAGCACATAAATCTCACAGCCCCGGTGTTCAAGAGCCGAATCGCACGTCAAGTCGGGTCCAGTGCCCGAGCGCAACTCAGAAGTGCACGCACTTGGCTTCTGTTAATCAATACTTGCGACTCCCACACGGTGTACTAGAGCCGCTGGGTTGCGCCTCCTCGAACCCCTTCCCTTCCAATCCCTCCGTCATAATTTTGTATGCGAGTGAGTCTGGTGGTCCCCGGCTGAATGGTGTTGACAATTTGGTGACGGTTCTTTGTCTCGCATGTGTGATAAAGATGTCCCCACCGGGGGAACTCGTTTATGCGTCAGCTTGTCCAGTCTTCGCTCTCCCTCCTCTATCAGTGGACCTCATCATCTCGAGATCCCGAAGTTTCTTTTCCACCACACTTTCATCCTTGATGCTGCTTTGTCGCGTCGGTCTTTTTTTTCAGATGATAACTAGTTCAGTAGTCATTTTGTCGGGGCGTTCGACGGAGGAGTACCCGTTCTCTTGGCTAAACAAGGGATCATCTACAAAATTGACTTTCTTTGTATTGGACGTGCACACCAAAGCGTTACTCTTGGTTTAACGATGCAAATTTTTTTTTCTATTTCTAATTGGGCCTCTAAAAATACCACTTAGTCTTGTACTGTCAAATTGCCACTCTAACCTTTTTCAGTACCACCTTTAATTAACTTATAGGTCCTGAGTAATTTACGATATTCGCGTGAGATTTGTAGCATTCGAAAGGCCATTTCTCAACCTCGAAGTCTAAAAGTACTTCCAAGTTGATAGTTGCGGCTACTTAGTGTCTGAAAGGAGAAGCTTTCTCGCATTTATTTCGGTCTAGACATTCCGGTACTTTCTGGTACTTTTTTTGCCAGAATTTTGTAGTGGTGTCTGCAATACTCAAATATCCCGGTGATATTAGCTTCCCTTTTCAATTAGCACCTCTTCCATACGAATATCTCCCCAAGCGCGAGGATAAACTAGCAGACCTGTCTTAAGCATCTAGTTTGACTTCGTTTAGTAGTGGACATTTTTATTTGAGCCATGCTTGAAAAATAATCTATTTATTCGTTGTCCTTACCTTTTTTACGTCTTTCTGTTAAATCGAAAAATCATCTTACAACTGGCATCCACTTAGACTTCCTAACAGCTTTGACATTGCTGATTCCGAAGTAGTAATGGACTGGTTTTCACGTGCACGGCACGTGGAAGTTGAAGGAAAACTGTAGTTTCTTGGAGTTGAATATCGTCTAATTGACCGGGGTACCACAACCTGTCGATCTTACTGCGTGAGTACAACAAGATCAGAGTAGACAGTGAGGGCTAGCATTAAACCATCAAATTAGCCGGTCCATTCGCGATTCCCACCGACCATTTTTGTGCTTTTGGGGCTAACAAAATAAATAACATTGAAACTTACTTATTCTAGGCAGATTTTTATGGCTAATTTAACTCCTTTCATCATAATGCGTTAAAAGCAAGGCGGGTTTTATTTGAGATAGAAGTTGTTCTTTAAGAAAATATGCAAGTTCTGTCGACGTCAATAGGCTAGGCTGGTACCTACTTGTCCCCAAGATTATTTGAAGGTCATAATTTAGCTTCGTTGAATTTAGCAATTTATATACTCTGTGCATTTTAGTTAGAATGGCTTGTTTTGGATTACGTCATTTAGGCACCTTCTCTGTTTCGTGAAATCGTGGTTCTTTGAGGACTTCTTCTTGTACTGGAGCAAAGAGGGTTACCAGAGAAAGACAGATCTAAATTCCCAGGGTGTTGGGCACAAGGAACGAGAGATTTTAACTGCGTCCCTGTATTTGTCCAGCCCCGGTGGCCACTGAGTACCACTTGTGTCACAGATGAATGAATGGTGCCTGTTTCTGGCACACGTGTTGTTCGCCCACAGCGGGAGTACGTTTCCTCGTCCTCTCCTTTTCGGACGTTTAAAATGGCACATGTGTCGACTGTGCACAGCACGCATTCGCCCTTGTGTGCGTGCGTGTGTGCCTGCGCTCGCTGGTGTGTTTCTTCGAAAAGTCGGCAGACGCCTTGTCTGTTTTCTGAAAACAGTTGTTTTCACATTCATTCGTTCCTTTGCCCGTTCGTTTGCTCCCTCGCCTGTGTACACACACGCACACTCACACCGCTCGAGTTTTCGTAAAACCGCATTTGGGCATTTTCACTCTTTCTCCGCCCCGCAAGCATTCACGCCTAAGCATGTCTAGAATTGTTACTGGAAGGGAGGGTTGGCTATTACCACTGCAGGTTGTGGGAGGGGGGAGACGGGTGTAGTGTAAGAGGCGAAGAGTGGATTTCTGTAACTACTGCTGCCTCCTCTTCAGTGAACGCGTGAATTGCCCATCAGCACGCATGCACTCTGCACGCAGCACACAACATCCAACAGGATAAACGGTAAAAAGAATGCTGTGTGGGTGTGTGTGTGTGCACGGCCTGACTAATTTCCTCGCTCTGTGCGCCGTTGTTTGCCTGCTTGCCTGGCTGTGAGTGAACTGGCGAACAAGTGGGAGAGCGAGTGAGAGCGGTATGATCGTGCATTCGGGCCTGGCGCTTTGACTTTTTTCCCTTGCAACGCACGGAACCCTTTAAGATACTTGATACACTGTCCTTTTACGCCACTGGAAACCTCGGTTCCTGCTTCTCCTCTACACCCTTCTGTGATGCTGTGCACCTCCAGTGACTTTCCATGCCTCCTAAAGAATTTAAAGTTTCAACAATTTTGACGTTTTTTTAGCTAGCTTAAACCTCTCCCACCATTGACGCCCCTTAGGTCGCCCCCTTTTTTAAGAAGCTCAGCCAAACACTAGCCACTACTTGTTTCTCACAGCCTCTGTCCTCAGGATCATGTTATCATTCAAAATGAAGGCAATTCATCCAAATGGTCATCCTTCCTATTGCATTATTGCTTTGCAGAACACTACTTTTCTAACTACTTCCATAGGTGCACCTCATTTTACCTGTTTGAAGTCAGCGAGGCACACTCTCGAAGTCTATTTTTACATCTATCACCATTTTTTCCCAATCTTTTTAAGTGAATGCCCTGAACTCTTCCGGTTTGCGCTCTTGATGTTGTATACAAGTGCTCACTAAGCTCTAAACTAGTGTATCGATGGTGCTTTGCTGTCGCTTGCTTCGTGCATATTTGAACTAGTCCATTCCACAAGTAGAACGTTTGCTCAAATTGTTAGGTCAAGCTTAATGGTGTCATTTCATCCTAGGGTTCAAGGTCGACCAAAATACCGATTGTGGTAAGAAATTTAGTCAATTGCCACCACGCACACATGATTTTCTATTCTCTAGTCTTTTTCCTCAAAATGCATTAATTCATCAGTAGGTATTCACCACAGTCGGGTTTAATTTTTTGTGTGTTTACAATGAACTCGCATTTTTGTGGAAAGGGATAGCGCTTCCTGCTAAATAGGCGAATTTCTTACCGGAGATTCCTTAAAAGCCCAACAGATGAGGCATGCGTTCCTAGACATACATCGGTTGGCTCGCGGGCCGGTGAATTCTTAATGTTCGTTTTGGGTAGGCGCGCTTCCGTGTGTCCGTCTTCTTTTACCACCTTTTTGACGCCACGTTTTTGCATCCTCTTCCACCCAAACTTGCGATATTGGCTACAGCCGCCAAACGAAGACGACTGCACGCTTGATTCATCACTGAACATGCATCCTCTAACACGCATCAATTAACTCCTGTTCATAAAATTCCTCTCATTCCCTTCTCCCCTCTCGGGTAAGCACAGTAGAGGGCCACCATCGTTCAGATTAATAAGGCCTGCCAAGTGGAGCGTTAGTGACAATGGTGATCTGCGTTAGAGTGTGAATTCGTGTGTTTTATTGCATTGCGATGGTAATATATTTGCGGTTACAGCTGCCGACAACTTCTGACGTCTACTCCCTCGTCGGTGGGCTTCGCACGCGAGGAGCTCTTGCGTGTTTATATGCGGGGTGGGAATATGAGTCACTGATGTATGATTGAGTTGTCTAAGGCCTAAGACGGAGGCGGCGATGAAGGCGGTGCTTGAAGCCGTGCGCCCTTCTGAGTCACATACACATGGCTTCTGTTTTTCCTCTCCCGTCCCTCCTCCCTTTACTTTTTAAATCCACGATTGACAAACTGAATAGTAATGAATGAACGGTACTTGTGGTCAGATGGCTAGGTAACATCCATGCAAGGCAGGAGGAGGGGAGGCGGAACCATTCGTGCACTAAGTTGGCTCAAGCTGGGGAAAAGAGGTGAACCAGAGTGCAGCCACTCAGGAGACATTAGTGATCAATAGTTGTTTGTGTCAAAGGTGAAGTTAATGATTCGACAATGATAGCAGTCCCCAGCCGGAGCTATCATTAGCAGGATACCGAAAAAGCATCGTGATGCTTTTAAGACTTGGCGTGGGGAGTGATTCAGCTGTTGGAAATTTGTGAGTCAACGCTTGCAGCGGCACAAAAAGGAGATGCAGGCATGGGGGTCTGCGTCTGGTGCGTGTGGCTATTTGCAAGCAGGCACGCACCATATAACACACAAGCAGATATACGGAATGGCAGACGGCCAAGCACAGGTGTTTATGCGGGTACAACGTCGTCGCCAATGGATCAATGTTCCTCCTCCTCCTTTACTCGTCAGCGCTGATACCGTCCTTCGATTGTGCTTGTGCTTGCCAGAGGGCACGTCCACTTAATTGCAGCCTAGTCGAAATCTGGAGCGTTTGTGCACTCTGTACTGGATGTGTGGCGTCCACAAACATGCGCCTATCTTCGAACAGCATCCATCCGCCCATTCGCTCACCCCCTCCATGCGCACACGAAAATTTGGTGATTTACCTTCCAAATCTCCACGTGGGAATTCAGCTGCGTCAGCCGTGCTTGCATGTGTGTGTATACGTTGACTTGAATTTAGTGCTCACCAAATCTACATTTTGAGGGTGTATGTGTGCTTCAACTACCCTGCTTTACCCCACCTACGAAAGCAAAGAAGTGATTAGACTTTTGCCAACGGAGCGCCAAAAGTCGAACGTTTTCGTTCGTAGAGCACTTGTGCAAGTATTTCGCCTAACCGAGAATTCACATTTCCCATATTAAGTGTGTGCATGCATTATCACCATCTCTGACAAAGCCTGTTGGCTTACAACCCTTAGCACGTAGACTCGTGACTCAAAACAGCATGTTTCCGGAGTTAGAGTCCTGCTTGTTATCTGTCCATTTTGTGATAATTTCGTGGGTACGTAGACGTGTGTGTGTGTATGTGATATTTCGCCTTTGGAAACCAGTGTCATTCAATTTCCTCTTCAAAAAACCAAATAGCCCTCGTACATGGGCCTCTCATGCTACATCTTCAATATTTATGCTGCTTTTCCAAGGGAGTAATAGCAGAATTTTATTGTTAATTTTGAGTAAGTGAATATATTTTCCTCACTTGTAGCTGTCATGGTGGCAACATCCCTCTCAATGACTGTCGCTAGCCAGAAAGTTAACCAGAATAGCCATGACATCTGAGACATTTGTCCCTGCGTGTTCTTGCCTAAATGAAGGCGGAGACAAGGAGATCACGGAGCAACCAATAGCCTTGCTACAAGAATCCGACAGGCCGGAGGGTGTCGAGACTTCTCTGAAGAAGGATCCACCAGATCCGCCGGTTCCACGTACCACAGGTCCACCGCCACTCAGCGTCAACTCCTTCCTCACATCCCCTAATTCGAGTGAGTCTTATTTCTACTTCTAAAAATACCAATGATTTTTTTACTCCGGAAGATGTTTCTTTCATTAGCTGAGCAGCCTTTTCACCTCGGCTGGAGCATGGATACTTCCTCTATTTCCCTCCTTCCCCCTCCTTACCTTTTCACTTCTTGCATATACACGTTCCTGTGTTTGCCTCCGGGTGGTCGTGTTATCTTACATTGACACAGTATCTGTCCACGATGCTACCAGAATTGTCTGTCTCCCACACTTTTCAAAGGCGCATTTGTAAGTGTGTGTGTGTGTGCACGTAAGAAGTCTCACTTTTTCACTTTCCTGCGTTTTTTGGGAAGAAATAGGTAGAGACAGGAAAAGAGTAAGACGAACACCCTTTTGATTGCTACAAGGGGATGTTCGCGTTAATGCGTACACACGCACATGCAGGCAGACAGCTAAGCAGGCACGCCATTGTTACACTTCCAAAAGTACGAACACGGAAATATCAGCAAAATTGGCGGTAGAGGAATAAAATTTCAGTGTTACGTCTCGTTGATGCAGTCATCTACAATCCACAAGCCCACTCAATGTATACTCGTGGAGTTCACGAACTCAAGTGCTTCAACAGACAATGCGCTTTCACTTTGGAACCAGGTTCAAGTTAGAAGGACTAGCATGCTCACCTGCCCTCCGCCTTTTGTCGAGAGGTTGATGTTAAGGCGGATGAACCTTTTCATAAGTCAAGACATGAAACTCCCATCCCATACAGATGGAACATTTTAGACGTGGCCGAATCAGGCAAACACAGCTGTCACATGTGGACGCTTTGAAATCTAATTGAGCCTGCTCTTTTTTATAAAGTACACTTGCATGGCTACCTTTAAGGCTGTTCGGTTTTACTACATTTTGTTCTGCGTCCAAGATTTTTATGGTCGATGTTGGTGGAGGAAAAGTTATCCTGTTGATATTTTAACTGTGAGTACTGTCGTATGTGCTTGTCTTAGTGGTAACCTTTGAAGTCTGGTCCGTCCGAGGCACCTGTTTGTGTGCGTGCTTGCGGGGGGGGAGGGAAGGGTAGGAAGTTAGGTCGATAAAGGGTACTATCTACAGTTCTAGCCTTCTTCCTTTCACATTCGCTAACTCACTTGCTCCACCTATACAGTCGTGGGCTCCATCTGAGTTGGTGGATTCCACCCTCTCACTCCACCTCCGACCTCCTCCACTATCTCCTGTTTGAGCGTGTTTCATCCATCCACCGCTCATTAATTGCCATCCACATCCTTGACGCATTTGCAAAGAGTCTGAAATTGTATTATCACCGGAAATATCGCTTTTTAATGTTAATAGGTCCCAAAGGGAACAACTCCTTGGACTTTTCGAATGACATGGCTGTGGCTACAAGCCTCTCTGGTGGAGAGGAACACGCTGTTGTCACCATTGGGTCCGCCGTCGGTAGCAGTACATCGACAACCACAGCAGTAGCGACAACTTCGTCCACTACCACGGCTTCCAAATCACCCGTTTTCACACTCTCCTCAATGGCCGCGTCGGTGACCTCTGCTGTCTCACACGTACCTTACCCACCTGTTCCCTTAATCTCTGACAGCCGATGTGGTCGCTACGACTGGTCCGCGTCCGACTCCGAAGGCCCTCCCCCACAACCTACTCCAGATGCGTCCGCTGATGGAGCTCCTTCTTCTTCATTCCTTCCCACAGTGTAAGTCTCTCAGCCTCTTCCCAGTAGTTCAGGCTTTATTCTTAGGCTGAAAGCTTATCTCGGTATTTGGAAATTTTGCTCTGATACCTTACGGTGATTGTCAAAATCCCGTTTTATTTTTATCTACTCTCCGCATATGCCGTAAAGTCGAAGCTCCCATTGAGGCCTTCTGGTTGTTTTTTACACGATCCTGGGCTCACTATGTGGTCTATCAGAAGGGGGAGTCGTCTCTGGGTCGTTAAATGAGGTCATGGGGTTTAAATTCAGGTTCACCTTGATGCAGCTATTGCCAAGTCAGTCGTTTGGGCAGGGAGTAATTAGTTTTGGGGGATGATGAGATTTCTGTCATTGCCAGCGCCCAAGCAGGCATTCACTTTGTCCTACTTTGGGAGAGTTGGTCAGCCCAACCTCGGCGGTTTTTTTCCATCCCTACAAACACACCAGGCAGAGGCATTTGACAAAAAGTCCTGAGCAGCTACCAACCACTTTGAAAGGAGCTCGAGAGGGAGAGGAAGAGCATTTTAATGCCTCGCTGCCTTCCTCCTCCCCCTTCATTCAACTCACCGAACGCTTCCTCCAAGCGTTGTCAGACCGCAAAAACGTGTTAATTGTCGGCTAATGATGCGGCAGGCAAGAGGGCGAGAGCGCAGCAGTGTGAGCGGACAGGGGAACTTGAGTGAGCGTGTGTTTGTCAAGAGAACGGCGCCGAATTCTGGGGGTTGACTTCTCTCCTAAACTTTGTTCCCTCCTCTACCACCGCCTCTATTGCAGCTGCCTCTCTCCCCTGCCATCCCCTCTTGCCTTGGTAGCACGCACGCACAAACTTGCACATGTGTGCACGCTTAATTTTATGACCGTGTCGCACAGTAGTTAATTTTCGGGTCAACTATGCCCTCCTTCTCCTCCTCCCACGCGCTTGCATCTGTCATCCGACCGTGGCATGGTAATCAAAAATGACTGCTACTGCTACTACTACTGCTGTTGCTGTAACATCCGATTCCGTCGCAGATAGTTTCCACTGCTTTTTTTCTCTCTCTCCATGTCCATTGATTGTAAATTAGTGCGCGCATGTGCGGACACATGTACAGAGGTACGCACGCTTGGCTGGCACCATGAACTGCCTTTGAAGGGCAAAAAAGGAGGAAGAGGAGGAGACGTACTCATCTTGATATCAGTCACTTAGTCCTTATCGGTTGCTCCTTTTCTCCCTCATTCCTCTCTTCTTATTCTGATATGCATCATGTTGGGGGTGTGATTCAGCTCAACTCCCCAGGGCCTGGTTGAGACCTGGTCCACTACACTTTATGCTTCAGAGAATTTATATCCCACCTAATCCACCCACCCATTCTCGAGGCACAACAGACACCGGAGGGGGTGTAGGTGCAGACATAGGTAGATGGGCAGAGAACTGGCGCCAGTGGGACGTTTTCAAAAGTTTGCGGTTCGTCAGCACCTCTTCTCTTAATGAATGCTTGCATTCATTCAGGAGGGAGCGCTTTATGTGAGCATAACTAGCTGGACGACAGATACTCCCCTATGGCTCTGATACTCCCTAATCCCTTTCCGTCTTCTCGTCTTCGGGTTAGATCCACCGCTGACTTAGAGCTCAGTATCTTGCAGCTCTGATTGCCTGTATTAAACGGGAAATGAGCACATCTCGAAGTTACCCTACTGTCCCGAAGCTAGCCGAATTCTACGTGTTAACAATCATTGTCCGATTCCGAATGCAGACCTCACGAGACATCCCAGCACCCACACCTGAAATACTCACAGCTTGTAGAGGGGACTGGCGAGTACTCTAGGCTGGGCTTCAATTCCAGGGCAGGTAGATCACGAGGTAAGTTTGCTTTATTTTTTTACTTGCGCATGTCCATTCACAGAGAGCAGGAGGGAGGGCGCGGTGACTAAGCTCCCTGTGTCCTGTGTTTCGGTGTAGAGGGTGTGTGCGCGAAAGAGCGGGAACAAGAGGGAGTACATTTCCTGGGAAAGTCCTGAATCAATGTCGACGAGTGTACACTTTTGCTCCCTCACTCCACCATATGGACGTGGGTGGTATTGCTTGTGTGTGCGTATGGAGAGTAATCGTTCGTGCAAGGGAGTATGCACGTGATCAGTTTATCCAAGTTCAATCCACCTCACGAGCACCTCCCGATATTCGGTAATCGGGCATTATGGTGTGGTCTCCTGACAAAGACGACCAGCGGTTGACATTTTCGAATCGCCTGTGGTGACTAATTAATGTCCGTGCGCAAATGCAGATAGCCGTGCCTTCGCCTAGCCTCGCCCCACCTCGCATCGTCTCGCATCGCATCGCATCGCATCGCGTCGCGTCGCGTCGCGTCTTGACATTGACAACCCTGCGCACGCAAGTATAACGTGCGCACCCCTATAACTGTGACCTCCAGCGACAATTTAATGCTTCTTAGTCACGCGTATTCGGCGCCGGTCTTCAAATTACAAGTATGCATGTACATGTACGCATATAGATATACACATACACTGCATTTTTTTAATTGCCTGCAGTGCTTCCACCTCCACCGCGTCCAGCCCACTGTCCTGATCCCCAATCCTGGTTATGCTTCGTTGCACGTAACCCCATCCCCAATAAGGCACATCACTTACCTTGTGCTACTACCGGGGTCCTTCCAAACGGATATCGAGAAAACTAAGTCGTTGTATGCTTCTGGCAGATTGTCGTCTTGAAACTGACCGCAAAGCGTCAGTATTTTCCGCGCAGATATATTTCAAATTATACCTAATTCCATCAAAGTTTCACTCTAGTCTACGTAAAGATGCATTTATTTTTTGTAGGTTTATTGCAAATCAAATCAAATTAAGACTGCCGAAACCCACTCCCGCCTGTTTCATCAGTTATTATAGTGTGTGTGCTCGTTTGTGCGTAGAGTTGTTGAAGAAGAAGTCTGAGTAGCACAGTCTGGTAAATCGCCTCCCAGTATCCCACACTGTTAGAAATTAGCATTCTAATTATGCGCATGCGTACACATGCACACACCTGTAATTACACCCCCGTCTCTTTCTCAGCCCCTTCTCCATTGCCTCCTTCTCGCCCCCAGGGCGTCAGGATTGTTTTGGTAGCGTGTAGAGCAGGTATCGTAGGGAATGGAGAGAAGAGAAAGGCGAGGGGAGGCAGAGAGAGGCACAGGCATTGTTGTCTGACCTCGCTTTTTTCTCCGCTTTCTGCTTCTTTTCTCCTCTCTCGTCCTTCTCCTTATCTCTCTCGCACAGTGCCTTTTTTAAACACGCCTTTCGATGGATTAATTAACCGTGAGGTTCCCTCTGACTCAGGTGCAAAAACTACTACCATCGTGTGAAGGTCTAATGCTCCCCAGAAAACGCGACAAAATTAGAGGGAGAAGAGGGAAGGTGTCATTATTTCCTCTGCTGCAAATGCAGACCAAAGTGCTCGCATACCTGTGTGCCCGTGTATACGAACAGGTCTGCGTCGCGGTCTGGGCCTTGGGATGGCACGGCTGCAAGAAGGGCACGCGGACTAGACAGCAGTGCGCATTTGTGTCTGGGCTCGGCATTAAACCATTGGCATGCGCACGCATTGCAGTGTGGCTGAAATGCTAATTGCACTAGAGATAACCACAAATCCTTGGACTATTCATCGCATAACAATGCCGCAGACGCCTTAAACCCCACCACCTGCCTGCGATCTTTTCTTTAGTGAACAACACGTCAAATGCCGCTCGCTGCATGGGAAGGGCTCGTCGATTGCATCTTTGATGGGCAGTCGAAAGGTCACACCTAGCCTACGCGCAACTTTTATCTACCACTTCTCTCAGCCGATAAAGGATTTAAAAAACACCTCCATCTTCCAACTTACCGTCTTGCCATCCTGAAAGAGATGGAATAGAGGAGAGTCATGTTCGAAGTAACCTTACCTGCAATTTTAGTTCCACGTGGAAATCCGCACCTCCACCATCCCAGGAAGCCGTAGCGGCAGCAGCCGAGGCGTTCAGCATGGTGCGAAATTGGTTTGCGAGTCCCTGTTCCCGGGCACCTGAGCAAACTTCGGCCAGTGGAACTCCCAGCCCTCTCCTGCCCCCCCCACCACCACCATCTTCCCAAACGACACCTCACATCCCTGCCTCCCTTTTGCCTACCTCGTCCTCGTCGTGGGGCCTCGGATTCCCTACAGGTGGTTACCAGCCCTATCCTGGACACCGGAGCAGCGGCTTCGTGCCCACCGCATCTTCGGGGTCGCGGACCACACCGACGGGTGGCAGTTTTTTGCGTGGCGGCAAGAAACGCTCGCACTCACAATCATCAATCAATGATTTGGACATTCCTAGCCTTACACGTAGCTCGCAGGGTTCTCTCAACATGCTTCAGGCTATGCAAACCTCTAGAAGCGGCATCTCTAGCATGGGCGGCTCCTATGGCCATCTTTCTGCTGGTATGTATTCTTGTGGGAAGGAGGCACGTTTTCCAAAATGTTAATTTTTATTATCCACTCACTACTTTTACATAAAAATGTAAAATGGATGTCTAACTCATCTTTGACTTATGTCTGGTTGATCCAAATTACCACGGCAACCTTCCATTCTAAAAATATAGTGCCTGTTTGCGGCACGAGGTTCTCCTCTTCTTCTTGAATTACATAATGCATGTTTAAAAAACTCACTGTTAGGCTAGCCAGGTAACAGGGACCATCTTTGAAGTAAGAGGAAACGCCCACAGATGTCAAATTAATATCCATCATGCCAATCTCCTTTTTGAAGAAAATTGTGGTTCTGATCGTCATTAGTTTTGAGCTTATTTTTCCTTCATCTAATCGTTCCCTAACGTTCCTTTTGCTTTATTTTATATGTCTATCACAAATGTTTATCGAGGGACAACCAATTATTCATTGACGATTCGGATATAGGAATACAAAACTGTTGCCCTAATTGCCCCTTAAAAAAGTCGTGGCAAATGTCATTATCCCTCTGTTTTATTGAATATAGAAAACACTCATTTTCATTTTGAGCGTTCCTTTCAGCGCTGCCTTCCATTCATTTGGCCAGCTGTTTGATTCCGGCCGATGGTTTAAACTACCGGGGGATCTTCAGTGAACGATCATTTCCATGGTGGTGGCATGTTTAATGGAAATTAGCTGCCAGAGCACCACACACAGCGGAATTCCGATCGTTTCTGACAGTTACTAACTTCAACCTGATGCTACTGCAGCGGCAGCAGAGGCCAAAAACTGTGGCAAAGGGACGCACACTCCTCTCACGGGGAGGGAAAGGGGGTGATCAATTTTTTTGACACTCCCTTTTATGTGCACACCCAGACCCCCCGGCATTAACACCTCAGACCAGGAGGGCCGAGTAAGGAGGAGTAGCTGAAAAAGCAACGCCCCATTCCGTGCATGTGTCCTCGCGAGCGCCTAACCTGCTCCTTGGGAGAGAGATTTTTCTCTTGCAAGCCATCTTACTTAAAAAAACGCGTCTTTAGGGGGAGGAGGAGGAGAAGGAGAGGGAAAATAGGCCCCATTCGTCTCAATACTATCAGGCAAGAGGACTTTTAGTGCATTGCAGAATTATCACACACCCACCTTGACCTTGAGGAGCTGTCCTGGGGTTTGTTCAACCCACAGGATAATGCATCGATCGATAATAGATGAGTGTGCAAGCACGCGGACAGGGGGTCAAAACACACCTGTATCTTCTCACCTCAAAACTCTGTGGTAATCCACCACCCAGCATTCGCATGGGCTTATTGTGTGTGGCCCAATAACAAGAAGAAGGGGTAGTCATAGCAACCAGTAGCTGTGGTGGGCAGCGACCGTGGAGAGATGAGCACACCCTCCTTCTTTCTCCATCCCATTACCCCTCCTGCCCTGCTGACGCCACTAGCCCCAGTCACTCACTCTCGTGGCTTTCGGTAGAGTCGCGTTGGCTTTAAATTGTAACATGTTGAAAATAGCTGGGAAAAACGAGCCCCCCTCCCCCTAGTTGAGGTGCTTTAACGCCTACACTTTGTTCCATGGTTCAGTGGTTCAGTAGAAAAAGCCGCGGATATTGTTATTAAACCATTTCACTAAATTGTGAGAAATTTTTCCTTCTCTTTTGCAGGGAAATTTACTCTCACAAAACAATTGGCGCAATTTTTTTTCATTTTTACATCAAATATGGTCTGCGAGGAGAAGCTAATTTTGCCCATGCAATCTGAGAAATTTATGCCTCAAATGTTTATTCCCGTGCTTGGTATATGTTTGGAGTGTTTAGAAAAGCCTCAGTGAAAGGGGGATGGAAATAGAACTAACTGGGATACGGCCTCACGATGAATCGTCTGCGTGAGATACCGAATTGCTTCCAAAATACTTTGTTCGTCTTTTATATGTTGGGCTTCAGTAGTGCCCTAGGTGATTTCGGAACTTACAGGGAAACTTGACAATCCGATTCCATCACTGTATCAAGCAGTGAGTATAATTATTTTTCACTGATGCACTCCAGTCTCTTCTTGACGTTCCGTTAGTGTTTAGTACTTAGCCTTCGGATACTGATCCCTAAGCATGAGTTGTTAGGCCTTATTAAAAAAGCCTTTTCCATCTCCCATGAGCATCAACCTAATTAGCACGATATAAAATAAGAGTGGGATTCTCCTTAACTTTTTTGCGTTGCGCGTGTGTGGCGCCGTCCAAATGCTAGAAGGCCCACCCGTTTGATGCGGCAAGCGGTAGATATACTGGCAGATGGTGTCCATACACACGCACACAGCTTGAATATGATAGCAATGGTAGCCCATCCGCTTGCCAGTGAGACATATGTGTGAGTATATGCTTAGAGTAGCTCAGAGTAACTCATTGAAGTTGGCGAATTTATTAATGCGATTAAAATCCGGCGCTCGAGAGACCATCTGGTCCAGGCGTTTTGGTGACTACTAGCGGAACTGACGACTCAACTTTTTTCACGTCCTTTCCACCAGTCTATCTCCTACTACTGTAGTGAGCTCACCATATACGCAACAAAATAGACCGCTCTACTCCCCCCATATCCATTTCCCAAACACATCTCTCATATTCATCGTTTACCTACCAGGTGACAGTAAAAAGGCGCGAAAGAAAGGTTTTTATAATGTTTTCTTGCAAAGCTTTAATCCCTCTCTGTCACTGACATGATGATTGCAGGTGGCATTCCTCGGGGAATGAACACCTACTGCTCCTTATAATTTTCTCCCTCTCTCTAGTGGTTCATCTTCCCTGTACATTATTCCGCTGTAGGTCCGCAAATGTGTCACTTAAATGTTTCCTTTCTCCTGACGTAAAAATTCAATTGGAAGCAAAAATTGTAGCTAACCTGTTTAAGCACCCATTCTTTGCCACCTTGTTACTAGCCTCTCTGGGAGCCAGCCCGGTTCCAATGTCTGGTCGGCGCGCGAGCAACAACAGTACGGACAACTCAGTGTTCGGCGGCTCACCACAGCCCGTCACTACCTCGGGTAGCGGTTTTCGGCCCACCACACCCTCCATCCTCTACCGGAGGGGCCTGACACCCCGCGGAGTCAGTCGTGCTACCCCCAACAGCAGTGGTAGCAGTAGTGGTGGCGGCGTCAGCAGCGGCGTTGCCTCCTCCGCAGCTTTAGCTGCCACCGCGGCTAACCCCGCCACCACCTTCCTGTTCCCCTCCACTTCCGTTCCTTCCAGCGTCAGCGCCTTCCCACCTTCCGCATTCCATGGATGCTCACCGCAAGTTGACAAATCCGGTGAGAATTCCCGCGTCGCTAGCACTAGGTTCAAGAATCTCTCTGGCGTTTGAGTTAGAGCTAGTAAAACAAATTTAAACCGGCTCCGCTTTAAGACTCACCTTTTTCTCTAAATATGGGCAAAACCTTATTTGTACTGCAAAAAATATGTTCAAGATGCCTACATCTCCGTGGTTTTAAACAAATGGATATCCTGAGTTAATAAGACCTCACTTATCTCCCAAGCAAACAAGCGTTAGTTTGTTACGATACCCAAAAATATATTGGGAGCTTATGTGGATGGGAAGGTCTATTGAAAGATAAAAGGCAGTGATGTTGTGTTTATTGCATTCTAGACCTTTGTTCCTGGCAAGCTCCATTGAACTTTCGAAACTATTCCATTGTTCGTATTGGAAACAAATACGCCTAAAATCTCCGCACATTTATTAGAAATTTAAGGGTTGGCGGAGCAGGCTAACCATTTTGTATCCTGCAACAGCTGATAGCTATCGTTGACGTTCAATCCACGCCAAAGAACGAGCTCATCATTGAATGAGGCAACTCAACCGTTGAAATCTTGCTGTGATGACCCGGCAGACAACGGTGCACTGCTATCCCGTTCACGATTTTACTTAAATTGTTGTTGGCGTACCAATGAAAAGTTCCTCTTTGAAGCAAAATATATGAAATAACTGCACCTTTTGTAAGCTATAACACAGATTAAGCTGATGCATTGAGTTATTAAGCTGGCAATCATGATACATCGGAGCCTGTCAAACATATGCTGAATTTGATGTCTCTGTACATGGATTAGCGAATGCAGTAAAGTCTCCTTTGTTAATCACAATCTAAGCACAGCGAAACTTCCACGGCTAGTATTTTTATTCCCATGTCATTAACATCATTGCCGCTTATTTTTCCCTTTTTAACTGCCATGTCAAGACGCAAAACTCTCAGAGCCTAACTGCCACTGTATTCCAAAGCTGAGTTGTTCCAGATAGTTTAGTGCTCTGACATTCGAATGGTAACCTCCGCCCTGACTTTCTTTCTTGAAATTCTTTATTAGAATATTCACCTAACAATTCATTGGAATTCCCAATGGGCAGCTTTGAGGCTACGATCTAAAAAGGGAAAGGAGTGTATCCATTTTCCATTCAACGCTGAACACCTCTTTACCTTTAATGTGCCCTCCTGGGGTGGTCTGATCCGCTTTTGTTCGTGTGTGTCGGGCGCTTTGGTGATTGAAACGGTCATCACCAAGCGCAGTGTACGCAGATACGACCTCATTCCCTACCCATGTCCCTTCCCACTCATCGTGCGCTTTGATAAAATAACGCAAATTTACTGTCATTCTTTTCCTCTTTAGGTGAGGCGAAAGACACACAGAATAACTCCGCCGTCGCGATGGCATTTGCGGCTGCAGCGGCTGCTGCAGTGGCTGCAAACTTCAGTGGAGGTGGGGCTGGTGGACCGGGTGGTGGCGGTATCGGTGGAACCGTCCCCTCATTGGGTCACCACTCGTGGCACCCCAAGGCCTGTGGTTCAAACCCGGGGTCTGCAGTAGCCACTAGTTCCTCCTCTAACGGCTCTTCACCTGCTTCTGCACCGGGTATCGCACCGCCTCTCTTCCCACGCAAGCCCCAGACGCCAGCTAATCCGGCCAACTTCATGTTCTCACCACAGGCCATGATGCTTTACCACAATGCCCTGCAGAAGTCCACCAATGTCGCGGCCGCCGCTGCTGCTGCTCCGTTCTATGCCGGACGAGGCCAGACTCATGATTCCTTTCATCCACCCAATTACGACTGGTGGCTGAGTCGCGGTAGCAACGCACGCAAAGATGTCCCTATTCCACCGCCTCCACCTCTGCCTTCCCATTCTCATCCGCATTCTGCCAACACTAATGGTGATACCTGCTCCACCACTGGTAGCTCCATGAAAGGCGAGGACCTATCCACGTCGACAGTTGTGGCAAAAGCCATGAAAGTGGAAAGTAGCGGCAGCGGAGGAGGTGGTAGTGGCGGCGCTTCAGTGGCAGCGCTGTTGGCTGGCGATGAGGCTGGATGTAGCGACTACGAGGAAGAGTTGATGGACGAGGATGGCAGGATTCCTCAGGAGGGCGATCCCGACTTTGTTGAGACCACCTGCCGGTGGGGCAGCTGTCAGTGCCAATTTGATTCACAGGACGAACTCGTGAAGGTATTTTTCCTCACAAGTGTATTGCACCCCCTGTTTACGAGACTATCACACCTCACTGTCTTGTATCCGTACTACAGCGTGTTTAACTTCGCTGGCACCTATCGAGGCCAGTTATGTGCGTGTGCATGTGTGCATCATTCTCGCCTGGGAATCCACAAAATTTAAATCATTGGAGTTAGTTTAAACAAACCTACAACTAGAGGGCATGAAATACAAATATTAATCATCCCGTTCGGGGCAGAATGCGTTTGGTATAATTAATGACGGTAACAGTATCACTTACTGTCTTTGCTTCATAAACACAATACATGTTTAGAAAAAAAAGCCCTCCATTTCATTAATTATAGACTCCATTGAGAGTTCACACTACTCGTCAGCTGGCCTTGTTTTTACGCTTTCAACAAAACCCATTAGCTTTTACTCAGGATGAAAAAGTAGCTTTGACTGGGGAACACAAACTCTCCTACTATTCATTATAAAATTTACGATTCCAGCTCAATGAGAGAAGAAATTTTTCGGTCTCTGGACCTTTTGAAATTATAAGGCCCAACCTCTACTTTGAGTAGGTATTAACTGACGGCGAATTTTTTCTTGCCCTACACAGCACATCAGCAACGAGCACATCGCGGGCAACAAGAAGAGTTTTGTCTGTTTCTGGCGTGAGTGCGTGCGCGGTGCCCGACCCTTCAAGGCGCAGTACATGCTGGTGGTGCACATGCGTCGCCACACCGGTGAGAAGCCCCATAAGTGCATTGTAAGTCAAATGTGAAAAAAATTGAGTTAGTACCGCAGCTCCTTTTATGCGAATTAGGTAAAACTTACCCAAGGGACCACACATCAGTATTCGTGTATATATGTGTGCGAGTGAGCATGCCGCATCCCCACCCCTCCCCTCTCAACTCACCCCCCTCCTTTCCTCAGTCGAAGTTCTTAAGCCAGCAGTCTGCTGCTGCTGGTGGCGGTGGGTAATTGATGAGTTTGTCGGAAGGTCTTTGAAGACTGAGTCGGGGTGGTTGATAAGACTGAAGCTACCAATTGGTGGGCGGTCTAGCTTGGCGTCAGTTAATACCTTAGCTCCCCCTTCTCGCCCTGCCGCCTCTAAAGTCCGTCTCCTACAAAATTCCTTCGTTTTTTTTCGTGAATTAAATAAAGTATTTACCTTTAATTCAAATGCTTAATCAACATACCGCAGCTGTTTGAAAACGCCCAGCCCATCACCTTTATCAAGAAAGGGTGGAAAGGGCTGTCCACAATTAGGAAATTTTTTTTCGATTTTAACCTTTTAAAAAGGGCATGCGCTAACGAATTGAAAACTGTTGAAATGGTTATTGTCAGCTCTCGAGTAATGTTATGTCAATGTTGGTAGATGGCCTTCGGCATAGTCACTGGCATAATGTGAATTAAGGTGCTTTAGGATTTTAAACTATGCCCCATTAATTCCCTTGCTTTGACCTGTGAAACATGTGGTTAAACAAGTGCCGTTAGTTAACACTGATGTCGTTCCAGTAATCACTAACAGACAAACTATTTTCAACACTGGAGCAAAATTCTGAATTCATTGAATCGCAATTTGCGACTAGTTTACGAGATCAGAACTTAAATAGTTTAAACAATGCTTCAGTAATACAAGTTTTAAGTGCTAGTCTTTTATTAACTAAAGTGGATGGTTTGGAAACGTGTTGGCATTTGGGTTTGGGTGGTTTGCTATTTTCCATGCACAATGAGGTGTCCATTTATTTGCATTTTTCCGCATAATCCGAGCTTGTAAAACTGCAGACCCCAGCTGGACTGAAAATAGGTGTCGGTAGCGGGGAGGGCGAGGGGAAGATTCACTCCTGTTTGTGCGACTACTTGCGTGATTGACAGAGAAAACAGCGTACATACGGGCTGTGGTTGCGATTAACGCGAGAGCTGCGTCATTTTCATGTGTCTTACCTAAAGGTCGTGTTGGACAGCTTCGGCTCTCCCCGCATCAGGTTAGATTTACCGTGAAGAAGGAAAGGTTGTCAATACAGACCTCGTATTTGACCACCCTTGTCTGTCTGCAGGAGCGCTTTGCGGTTTTCACTTTCCGGTAAAAAATAAAGATTAGGCAGATACTCACTCAGACGTCGCCATTGGTGGTCATTTGTGGCTGTAGTTGTGGCGCAAGTGTAGATTTTAATTCCGCAAATGGCGTCTACATTCAGTAAAAATGAAGTTCCCCTTCCCTTCCCTTCCCTTCCCTCACCCACTGCAGAACGCTGTGCTAGAGAGCACTTTACTGAACAAGAGGCAAGCCCCCAGTCATTGACGTCACTGCAGTCGCTGGGGCAGCATTCGCTTCCCACCTGCTATGTTTGTCATATGCATTCTGTATCGCCGGGTTGTAGTTAAAACTTTACAAACTTGCGTTCCTCTCTTCCTCGTATGCGGGCAGTTTGACGGTTGCTCAAAGCGCTACTCGCGGCTGGAGAATTTGAAGACGCACCTGCGCTCGCACACTGGGGAGAAGCCATACCAGTGTGAAGTACCAGGCTGCAACAAGGCCTTCAGCAACGCCTCTGATCGCGCCAAGCATCAAAACCGCACACATAGCAATGAAAAACCCTACGTGTGCAAGGTTATAGGCTGCTCCAAGCGTTATACGGACCCTAGCTCTCTCCGGAAACACGTCAAGACTGTCCATGGCGCTGAGGTACGTCTCTTTTCCCTTGCTGTCAATCTGCTATTTCCACCCCTCACATGACAGTTGCTTCAGCGCTTAAAATATCCACACTTACTTTTGTTGTGGTGTTTCGAAGCTTCATACCCTGTTTGAATATTTTGGAAGCCTGAGCTGATTTCTAGTAGCATCAAATATCCTTTAGCATGTGCCATCATAATCAATCCTGCCATTACTCGATTAAGTTGGCTCCTAAGAGGATCCACCTTCGAAAGTGGAACAGAATCAGCAATTTAAAAAAAGTGTATCCGCCATGTATTTCAGAAACTGGAGACTGTATTGGGCAAGGGTTGGAAGTGCTTTGAGCAATACAAAGTTTAAGACAGCTCTTCACTAGTGGCAGATTGTCGTAGCAGTTACTGGGCTGTTTTAAAATACGTCCTGCGTATTGGTTTCAGTGTTAGATAGTGCCTACAAGTAAATGTGTGGTAGTCGTCGGCTGGTGTCTGTGTACCTATGGCAGATGATTCACATTCCTAGCATTGCTAATGATGATTGATCCCTACCATTTTGGACACAAGTGATTCCTATGAGATCCCTAGTCTCAGGAGTGTTTAAAATCTCACTGCAGGAAAGTTCCTTTTTAATCTTAAGAGCCTGCTCCTACTGGAGTAAGTTTGAGTTTTTTGGTCGAATCTATGCACAAACAGTTGGGCTATGCCGCTCAAAGATATTCATTACATGAGAGTATGGATGGCGCCTTCATTGTTGTAGGTTGAAACTAACACACGCTTATCTTTGCGAAATATTAGGTGATGGTCGTCCATGCGTTTCTTATAAAGATTTGAAAAACTGCAAAATTGACCGCAAAACAGTTAGCTTAAACCGCAAACTCCTCACTAATCGCTGTGGCAAAAACACATGTCCTTGAAGCCGAATTTTGGCCGTTTAAAAATGAGACCTTAGGCCGAAAATCTAGACCAAAGACACTAACCAAGGCGATTCCAACTTTCTCACACCAGGAAGCACAGTTCATTTGGATAGTTAAAGAAATTGTGGATCTTGCATCCCGCACCCTGTACATGCATTAATATCGGTTTCTCCAAAAGTACGCATACAGAAATTGACTCAGTTACCTCATTCCGTGTTTTTTTTTCCCACCTCAGGTTTACGCAAATAAGAAGCACAAAGGTGAGAGCTGGAGTAGCCGTTCCTGTGGGGGCGGCACTGGCCTTGGTGCGGCTTTTCGGAATTCCGGTGGGGGAGGTGGCAGTGGTGGTGGCAGCGGGGGAACTCGCGGAGGGCGCGATGGCTCGAAGGGTCCAACAGACGGCTTCTCCTTCTTTCACGACAGGCGCGGCGGTGGTTCGCGGGGTGGTGGACGCAGCGGAGGGTCAAAAGGCGTTGGAGGTAATGGTGGCGGTGGCAGCGCTGCTTTTGCTGAAGGGACTACCGCACTGCCCTCGCAGACTTTGAACCGCGTAATCTATCCTCACACCCCTCCCTATCAGCAGAATACTCCGGGCATGCCAAATCATAACCCCCACCATGCCTATCCTGGTCACCAGTTCTCCCACGCCATGACACAGCGGAGTGGCCCTGCGAAACGTGAAAATTTCACCACCTGGGCTCCTCACCAGTATCACGGATGGTCTAGTGAGTGGAGCCAGACTCACGCCCGTATCAGCGGTGGTGGTGGTGGATACACTACCAGAGGATGGGTCAGTCCACGCATCAGTGGCGCCTATCAGGAACCCCGTTATAGTGACTGCTACGACCATCTCATGAGTCAACCAGCCAACATAGAGCATTCCGCCGCCAGGGTACATTCTGCCGACTACTCTTAATCCTGCTTACTGAGGCCAGCCTTTTTGCAAATTGATTCATTGTAATAAGACCACTGTTTATCAAAGACGTAAGGTTAGAGCCTAATCTCGAGTACCTCTAATAATACAATGGGATACTGTTAGATTTTAAGGAATAGATTTCTCTGTTTTTAAATTCCCTCCCTTTGAGAACGTTGTCATTTTATTAGTGAATTGGTGACATGTGATCCGGAAAAACGCTCAATTCCCTTCAAATATCTATAAGTGAGATTTTTCACCGAAATGGGGTGTGCTTTTGAGGAGTTAACGTTACGCAGGCCACTGCACATTGGCTTTTACATCAAAGGCAGTACTGTGTGCTGCGCGAGAAAAACGAAAGGAGCGTATGCTGGCATGTTGTCATTTTGACAGAAAAATTGGTTTTAATTTTTTTACAGTGATTTAATTCGGCGTGTAAGAGGGCAGGCAGTTTTCACAAGACTAGTGCACACAGCTGTGTAGCGAACTTTTATTAAGTTTATATTAAACCTTTTTTCAAGTAAGTGTTGATATTTTGGCCATTTCTTCAGTTTGTTGGAGGTGGTGTTTTGGGCATCAGCCGAACACGCTATCACCACCCACAGCCACTACCAACTCAGGCGCAGTTTCGCTCCTCCTCCTCCTCCTCCTCTACTTCCGACGCCAACGCGGCAGTTGCGGCGGCAGCAGCCATGGCGCAGGCCACCTCGTGTCCCTCCCTGGTAACTGAGGTAGAGACCTCTGCCTACGTTCATACGCCGCTCTACACGCCCTTTAAGCCGGAGGGAGCCGGGACCGTCTTTACGAGGAGCATACGTGGGCAAAATCCGCACAAACCAGAGACGAGCATGCCCTACCAAGCCCCAGTGGTGCCCCTACCCAACTCTCACACCGCTTCTGCCGGCGTCGTTCCCAGTATGGGTGGACAGAAGTTGGACATAGTCGACAGCTCTGCTGGGAAAGACGTTGCCTCCTCTCTTCTTTCCGGTGAACCAACAGGTGTGAGAACTCAGATCTCCCAAATTTATACTTGTCCCTACTCTGTATCCGCGTGAAAGTCTATTTGTCCCGTTTATGCATTAATTGTACTCTTGTCTTTCTTCCGTTTCGTCAGATCGATGGCAGCACGTAAGCGGAGGTAGCGCATCATCAGGTGTTGGATCTGGCCTAACGAACATGACGCAGGATAGTGGGTATCCGGAGAGCGACCTTAGAGGCGGCATCACCACGCCAACTACCCCTACGCCCATCAAAGACACTTCTGCCTCCTCTTCCGTCGAGACGCCTTACCAGCGATTGGCAGAAGGAGAGGAGAAGATGCTTGGCTGGGGTGAGACCTCAGTTGCTGCTACTGCATCCACCCAACCTTCCACCGGTGCGAGTCATTTGCCTCCCGATCAGACCGCTCAACTGAGCACAACCAGTTCGCAAGTCAGCAGCGGTCTTGGCTCCATGGTGAGCTCGGGGACCGGATCCAGTAGTTGCGGTGGTGGCACTGGTAGTGGTGGTGGGGATGGCGGTTCACGCCGCAGCTGTGTTTCCACACGACCCGTCGCTTCGAGCATGGACACGTCCTCCGTCAAAATGCCCTTCTGGGAAGGTCGAAATGATTCCGATTCTAGCTGTGTCTTTCAGCTGTCCTCCTCCTCGACGGCACAGACCACGGTTAGCGAAAGGACCGACTTCAGCCAACCGCGCAGCGGCGTTGTATCTTCTTTCGACCCTTCTGCTGACGGTGGTAGCGTTCCATACTCAGTCAACAGCTGGAGAGGAAATCAATCTGAGGCGACATATGCCACTCATCCTCAATCGAGGGACTATGCATCATCAAATTGGTCAGCCGAACAGTCTGCTAGCTACTTCACTTCAGCCGCTGGCTACTCCACATCCAACGTTCCTGAGCAGGGTACATCTCAACGCACTTGCCCACCTTCAGCCAGCAGTAGCAACAATAACAGCAGTATCAGCAGCAATGAGTGGTCCCGTGTGTCCTACTCTGGCCAGACCTGCGGCTACCCCGACTACGGCTATGGAGGACAGATGCAATCCATGAACTACCCACTTTATCCCTTGGAAAGTCAACCACCGGCTGTCTATCGTGGCAGCTATAATGGTTGGAGTGATGCGAACATGACAGGCGGCAGCAGCAATGTTGTAACTCCCACGTCCTTCAATAATTCCTACGCGGGACTTTTCTCCGAGACTATGAATTCCCGGTTAATGGTGCAGCAGCATCAGCAACACCAATCTGCTTCCAACCTAGAGGAGCTTCAGCCGACTCTCTCCACCTCCTCGATGTCAGTAGGTTTCGGTTTCAGCAGCGGTGGCGGGGTTACCACCTCTTATGATCCATTGAACAGTAACCTTGTGGTCTGCAGCATGCCACCACTGCTGCAAGCAGAGAATGCTGCCCCTGGTCTCTACCCTGCGGCATTCAATTAGCCAAAGACAACTGCGCCACTCCACTCTCACCTCCGTGTCGTAATCACGGAACTTGTGATATAAACACCTTCTTTCCCACCCTCTTTCAAAGCTGCCTCCCTTTCTCTTGTCCCTTTTACCACTTGAAAAGCGCCTAACTGCTGTGTAAAAAGGAAACAAGTAATATTGTTACAGCCATTAATATTGTTAAAATTGACGACGACGCTGATGATGGCGAACAACGCAGAGATTTTTCGAGTGAATCTCGGGCCGTAGTGACACCGAGAAATAAGCATTTCATTATCCTCTGCCATCCCACTACCTGACCTGACCTCACCTCACCTCCATCCCAGTCCTACCTCGCTTTCGTCCGCTGAAATTTTAGTAACTTGCTGTCGTCGTCATGTGTGTGAGGTGGTGAGTTTGAACCTCAGCGCTTTAGGGAGTGGATGGTGGGTTGGAGAGTAAAGGGGATGGATGGCTGAACATTCTTAAGTCCTCTTTTTTCCAAAACGCCATTTTTATTGTAGTAATTAAGTCTTCTGTCAAAACATCCCTCCTATCTCTCTATCTCTCTTTTTGTGTGAGTTTGTGTAAATACAAGGGCAATATTTACTCGTATTTTTTCTAGTTTTTTTTTCCGATTATCTATTCGGTGGTTTCGAAGCGGTGCAGTGATACTGTCGACTAGCTGGTTGGTTTTACTGCTTTATTTCAGTGTCCTTGTACTGCAGCCCTGTTGGGCTTCTTTCCCCAATTTTTTTTAAATGGTAATTGAGTCGCCTGATTAATATCAATCATCCACGCTGGAAGAGTGGTTTTAGCTGAATAGTTTTTTGAACCACCAAAATGATAAGAAAAGATATCTTGTCACCATTTCGGAGGGTGCGATTTCGTCACCGGTCCGCGAGTCATGTGTGATAGGTGGATCAATTTTACGAAGGTAACTTTGCGTAGGTCAGTCTTCCTATTAATCACAAGTGGCAAGCGATGGATTCTTGTTTGCCATGGGAATTTTATGAACTAATTTAAAGTAGTGTTGAAGTACAGTTGCTCTTGAAAAAGTACACACACACTCATCGAAACTGCTCTTTTAACTGGGGAGAGTGGGTGCGGATTCTCTTCTCCAGTTAGTTAATTTTTTTGCCGTTTTATTGGGCTACTTAAGAGTAACTTAACGCGAAAACGCAATTCCATATTTTAAATAGTCAAATGGCATGGGGAAAAAGTGTGCATTGAGTCATGACAAGTGTTAAAATGCCTTTTTATCAGCGGAAAGTGAGAGAGAAGGTCTCCTCATGCCATTTCTACTTAAGTGAGAAACTGGGTTTTGTGTAGCCGGGGTAGGATTGAAAGCTGAGTAGAGTCACAAGGGGGCGTATAAAGCGTAGAAACTTTCTTCATTTGAAATGGTGCAGCTTTGAGAATGCCTGATCATGCATTTTAAAAGGACAAGCTTCTACGTTGAGCAAAATGGGAAATCAGTCTCCCTGAAAGCAAGTGAGTGTGTCACACCGTACTTAGGGCCTTTGGTTTGAGCAAATAATTGAAGGGTGATAATGATTTGTTTTAGCTAACTGTATTTTCATTTCTGTTTCTCTAAATCGTCCCAAAAATGTGATACCAGTTTTCAGAATGGACGCATGCTAATGATCCGTTTTCATTAAACTAATCAGGCAGTGAAACCCTTCAAACGATATCGCCCATTATAATTTCTACTCATTTTAAAACAGCAGCAGGCCTTTGCACCCTACTGGTCTAATAATTTTTTGTCTACTTGGTTTAAAATATAACAATTAAATGAAAATCACAATGCGAAAAGTGACGGGACTATAAACCAAACAGCAAGTTGACTTTTATCACAAAAGAACCCAACGACCTCTGTATTTTATGCGCCACTGCTTCGTAGAACATAAAAATCCTCCCAAAGTCCTTAAAAAAAAACAAGTAGCGCAGGCCATGACGACTGATTTATTTTACTGATCTTGATTTCTCAGTGATGGGAATGGCGTTATCATGCACATTTACTGATATCAGAATGTAGATGCGCAAACGATGTCGTGTTGACCCTTTTAATAGAAACCGTAACCACCAATAAAGCTATAAATCAACCATATATGTTGTAAGTAAAATATTGTGCATTAAAGTACTCAACATTAATCTGCGGTGAAAAACAATGGAAAACGCTTAAAGAGTTTTGCTCAAAAACCGGAAAAAGCATATAAAGCATAGCATTTTTTAAAATGGGCATTTACTCAGTTTTTGTAAAATTCGTTAAGTGAGATTTGTGATTAAGTAATGAAAAATAACTTTTGGTACAAATACTTTTGGTTATAGCAATAAAGCAGATCTTTATTATTCTGAAGGGTTTTGTAGCTACATTATAATACTTTTAATAATTAAGAGGAAGTACTCTGAGAAGTCATTGAAGACTGAAAACATCCTCTATTTTTGCAGACAGCTAAGGTAAAATGCGTTCTGTTTGCAAGAAATAAAACCGTTTAAGTTCAAATAATACTGTATTGTTTAAGGCTTTCTTTACCAAAGTAAAAACACCAGTTGCCCAGTGAGACTAGCTTGTTTTAATTGACGGGGTCGTTCCGCCATCTCGTTTCAGACACTTTTTGCTTTAGTGTTGACGATGCCGAGGCACATTGCTTCTGTCCATATAAAGAACCTGGCTGATGGAGTTCGGTAATTTCGCTTTTTTATATGTGGGCTCTTTGCTGAGATTTTGTTTGTCGAGTTCGTTTGCATATGTTTAGCACCAAAGTGCTATGTTCTTGGTAGTGTGCGTCCAGACTTACCGGAAATGGGACTTCATGTTTTACCATCTTGGTTTTAAGCCTACAGTGCTGTGTTCATTGGTTGTGTTATTAGTTCTGTGGATATTACAAGGGTCGGTGGTTCATCTGTTTTGGCTTTTGCTGCACTGGTCTGTCGTTTTCCTTTTAGGCACGAGGATCTGCGCCACGCTTTTGGAAAATTTGGCCGTGTAGTTGATGTTACGGTGCCTGTAAACTATCATACAGGGCGACCAAAGGGCTTCGCATTCGTGGAATATCCTTTTCATAAACTCATTGTCTTTACGTCTGGCAGGTTGTTTTCGCTCCTCTTGTACCCTTTTAATTTCCTTTACTCCCTCCTACGTTTGATGATGCTCGGGATGCTGAGGATGCGATTTACCACATGAACCACTCTCGTTTCGCTGGGAGGGAGATTACGGTGGAATTTACTCGTGGGACACGGAAAAGTGCGTTGGTTCCAACTTCGTCGTGTTTCGTTACACTCTTGCTATCGTTTACTGATTTTTAATGGCTATCACGCGTCCGCGTTCAGTTAGGATTTTCGATATGCCTTCCAAACTCTTAGCACGTGTATCGCCATTTTCACTGATCACAGTCGAATTCCCAGGCGTTTTAGCTCTCATTTTCTTGAAAATAGCGTAAGCGCATCGTTAACACACACCTACTTTCTTCTAGCGTTGAGTAATTCCCAAATCAGTCTCAGCAATACCAGTCTCGTCCCAATCACTGCGACGCAATACAAAGTCCAGTAAACCCCACAGTCAGTCAAAGATAACCCAATTCAAAGCAGCCAGTCAGGCGTTCGTACAACCAAGTGCAATGGCCAGTTGGTTCATCCAACGCGCTACACCTTGTTGCATTCCCCCTATCCCGTTTCTCTGTCCCTGTGTGTGTGTAGCTCCAGCGGAAATGCGCGCACGTGACAGCGGCAGTCGTGGCCGTTCTTGGCGAAGTCGGTCTCGCTCGCGCTCTCGGTCCTTCCGTCGACGTGACAGGTCCTCTCGTGATCGGTCGGATTCTTACAGTCGTCGTCGTGGCGGCAGTGGCAGAGGGGGTCGCCAGGATGACTACAGACAGACATCGCGGGGACGCTCTTACTCGAGGTCGGCGGATGCGGAAAACGGTGGCAGGCATGACGACCGAGAAAGCACAAAAAACGGACACTGGGCCGAAGAGAGGGGAAGACGTCGCAGGTAAGGCTGCTTTTTTGTACAAAGCTGAAACCTGGTCCAGTTAGACTGTTGACTCAAGCGCTTCACTTCAGATCGAGGGCTAGTTCGCGTGAACTGAGTCGTGGCTCCTCTCGCGGCGGGACTAGAAATCGCGATGGTCCTAACGCTCGAGGTTCCCCACCTCGACGTGATGATTCTCGTTCACCAGCTATGGATCGCTCTCCGTCTCGTGGAGGTGGTTCTAGATCACCCACCCCATCACGCGGTGGGGAGGGATTTTCTCAATCGTCAATGCGTTCACGTAGCATTTCTCGAGGCCGCTCAGGTTCCCAATAAGTCGTCAATCTGCTGAATGTACATTCTGAGTGTTCGTTTTATCCACCCGTCTACTCACATACGTTCCATCGCTTTGTTGTGACCATTTTTAATGATAAAATTGCCGTGACATGCCTCGTCTTATGGTGTGGATCTGATGGTTGCTAATGGTTTTTTGCTTTTGTATTCTATATGGAAGCTGGATCTCCATGGGGAACAGACCTTTACTTGTTGGGTGGTAGGCTCAAGGCAGCGTTCTAGTCTCGGAACCTAGAGGGTGGTTTGCGGGTTGTTGTCTTGATTCTCAATTTTGGAGCCGATGGA